GCCCAAAGTCCTTCCGGTCTCCAGCAGAGGACAAGGTGGTGGCTGTCTTCTACACCGTCCTCACCCCAGTGCTCAACCCTGTGATCTACAGCCTGAGGAACAAGGAGGTGCTGGGGGCCCTGGGAAGAGTGGCTGTGAAGTTCTGCTCTACAACAATGTAGGCAACTTTCTGTCACAGTGTATTCAGCAGAGGATAGTCACTAGAAACATGTTTAAGTTTGATGGCTCAGAAACTAGAATTTAAGATTTAGATTTTAAAATTCTGTGGTATGATATGATAAAAACTGTGTGTTTTTGTATATACACTTTCACTTTCTTTGTCTCATCTTTCCAATAAAAATACTTGGCCTGAAGTTTTCGTCATTTTGAGGACAATATTGTATTATTATGGAGATATTGAAATGGAAAATGCAGAAAACTTTGCACTCATTTTGAATGTGTTCTATGATCAAAACGTTTGTTGAATATTTTAATTTTGAAAAATACAGTAAAAAGCACATTGCTCTGAATCCCCCTCAAAATACTCACACTCCTTTGAACCCACTTATCCCATTGTCCTTTCTACTTTTCTTACTCTGACCTCTCAAAATTTATGTGATTGGATAAATCATGACATTGAATTTTCTCATGTGTAGCAGGAATACATAAAGCAAAGCTTCCTGAGTTCACAGCTTCACCTACACATGCTGATTATTACTGTACATCTGGAATCACACTGATGCAGTGTGATGGTGCAGAGGACAGAAACGTCCTCTACCTCACAATCACCTCTAACTCCCCTCACCTGCTGACCCACAGGATCTGTGTTCTCAACACCTTGCAACTCTAAATAATGATTCCCATCAGCATATAAAATTCCCCCATAAAATGTAGTGCATTTTGAGTGACACTAGATAAACATATAGCCCAAGACATGAAAAAATAGAATATTACATGCACACTCTTAATTCTTCAATGAAATATAACTCAACACATGGATGCCCATTTGTTAATCACAGAAATCCATCCATGTCCTATTCAATCTGTGTAGAAATGGTTTGTCTTTATTTCACAAGTCCTCCACAATGTTTTTAAAACAAGTTGTCACTTTTTTCCAGGGTATCCTTTAGCTCCTGGGCTCAAGCAGTCCTCCTGCTTCAGCCTCCTGAGAGTCTAACCCATAGGTCTGTGCCACTGCAGTACAGAAACCTTTGTCAACTGAGTCTTGCTCTTTGGGACACAGAATGGGCTTCCTTTTACAAATGAGTGAGTAGGACTGATCATCTACAGAGCTGTGTGCTGTAGTGAATAATTCCTGTGGGCGAAAGTGAGACATTCAGAGATGAGTAAGAGCAACAGCTGCATTTTACTGAAGTTTTAACTCCTGATTTCTTTCCCTTTGAGCCCAGTCCCCTGGTCATCTGTGCTCACTGCAGGGTCACAGTGGGGAAGGTGAAGGCTGGGTCCAGGACCCTGCACAGCACCCTCAGCATGACAGCACCCAGGTCTCCTGGGACAGGTGGGTGCCCTGGTCCTCCTGTGTCCTGGCTGCCTCACACTTTGTGACCCACACAAGGTCCTCAGCTCTCTGGAGATGCTGCTGCCCTGGTCAGACCAAGGCCCCAGGTCCCACACACTCAGCTCCAGCTGTGTTTCCTGCTCAAGTCTCCGGGTCCTGGCCCAGGGAGCCTGAGAAGCCACCGAGAAAGCCCTGGGTCATGGAAGCCCCTCAGGCCCTGCGTCCACATCCAACAAGGTCTCTCAGCCCCTCCTCCTCACAGTTTGGGCCCTGGGGGGCCTGGAGGGCCAGACGGGCCATCCTGTAAGATTTTGGGCAATTTGTGGAGGGAGACAGAGAGGCCCTTCGGCTTACAGAGACCAGGGTGGTCAGTCTGTGAGTTGTCACTTCAGGAATTGTTTCTGCCCAGGATATTAACAATTTAAATATTAATAAATCCTTACACAAAAATTTGGTACAATGTGATTCATTTCTGAAGCAAATGGATAATTAATTTCATGGAAATGAGAAATTTGTGAACATGATTAAGCTTCTACTTGTAACAAATTTAATTATTGAATATCTTGTGAATAACTCCCTACAATGTCCACAATAACATTTTAATAGGATAAAAATTTTCTTTTTTAAAATTATTACTTAAATTCTTTTATTGGTACATTTTAGGTATACAACACATTTACATTTCTGATTGGGAGCTTGTAACTTTACATAATGCATTTTAGTTCTTATTTTTTCCCCATTCCTAGCCCTCCCTTCACCCCCTCCACCCTTCTCTATTTACAAAGATTTGTTTCCATTTTTTCCATTTCTCATCATTTTTCCTTTCCCTTCTTTCCTTTCCCCGCCCCTCCCACTACCCCTACTCCTATGGACCTTTTCTCCTACTTTGCATTATCAATTATTCATTCTAATCATTGGTACATTTTAGGTATACAATATAATGACATTCATCATTGGAAATTT